ATCTCTCTGTCTCTCTTTCTGTCTGTCTTTATCTTTGTCTTTTTCTCTGTCTGTCTGTCACTCTCTCTCCACTGGCGCAAAGTAGATTAATTCGAGATGGAGACGACACACTGTACATTTGACAAGCTGTACGGGAGGCCACACTCGTTCACTGTAATCTTGCGGAAGTAATGATATTTCTGGGAACTTGTAATCAGTATAAAGGAGTATCACTTGAGATATGATGTGATGGAGCCGTCATGTGACACGAAAATTCTTAGAAGAAGCTTGTTGTTGGTAACGCCACAGTGTATGATTGACTCCTGCAGTGTTTAGTATTTGTGATGTTTCTACTTCCCTCTGTTATCTCTCTCTTATCCCTCTTTCTTTACCCCTCTCTCTCTCTCTCTTATCCCTCTTTCTTTACCCCTCTCTCTCTCTCTTATCCCTCTTTCTTTATCCCTCTCTCTCTCTCTTATCCCTCTTTCTTTACCCCTCTCTCTTTCTCTTATCCCTCTTTCTTTACTCTCTCTCTCTCTTATCCCTCTTTCTTTCCTCTTCTCTCTCTCTCTCTCTCTCTCTCTCTCTGGGGGTTGGCAGGTGTGGTCAGGATATTGGCAGGTGTGGGCGATGGGTTGCGGGTGTGGAAATGTGTGTAAATTATGATAGGAAAATGAGTAGGCGTGGTTAGGAGAGGGACAGGTGTGGGTGAGAGGTTTACAGGTGTGGGTTGGGGTCTGTATGTGTGGGTGGGCGGTCTGTAGATGGGATGGGAGGTGTACAGATGTGGGTTGGAGGTCTGCAGGTGTGGGTGGGAGATATACAGGTGTGGGTTGTAGGTCTGAAGGTGTGGGTGGGAGATATACAGGTGTGGGTTGTAGGTCTGCAGGTGTGGGTGTGAGATATACAGGTGTGGGTTGTAGGTCTGCAGGTGTGGGTGGAAGATATACAGGTGTTGGTTGTAGGTGTGCAAGTATGGGTGGAAGGAGCAATATTCACAATCCTTATTTAACAAAATGTTCTCTCTATAGTACAGTAATATCTTGATTCAATACATAAATAAAAAGTAGTGCTCAACAGATCAGTATACAAATATACACAACTTCACTTGAAATATTCCCCCTCATTCACTGTGTAATGATATGCTATAATGTACGTAATTATTCACCATATTACCATGCTATTATAAGGCTCCCTGCAATGAACCAATCAGAAGGACTCCCGCTCCCTAATTAGTATAATACAGGTGAGGTGGGTCACCCATATACTCACCCTGTTGAGAAATAATCCTTCACTGACTCCCCTCTCCTCACCTAACTTACCCTCCGACTAATTTCACTCCCTCGTCAGGAGTAAGGGTCTTCATAGCAATGCAAATGCTTTATTAGGAAGAAAAATGATTGATATTGCTTGAAAAAAAAATCTAAAACTAAGTGTACGATCGCTGCTTTCCACGTCGCTGCCTGGGTACGATGTTTATCAATGATATAAAGGTAACTGACGGCGACACAGATCTCTCCTATGTGTCACGATTTACTTCACGGTTTTTTAGTCTTCGTAAAAAACGAAGAAAAATATATAAACAGTGAAAGCTACACACATCAGGGATGGGAATCTTACATCAAGGAACTCCGTGTGATATAAAGAAATATAAAATACATTATTTCAGCGTTGTTTTGATGTATTAATACTAAGTCTAGTCATATTTAATTAAGAATTACCGATTTACCAATCATCAGATGTCTAAGATACTTTTTCATAACGAAATACTAAACCGAGAAATCTCTTATCGCCGCCATTTTCACTCCCAGCCGTCGATTTAATACTTCTCAAACAACAACACCTTAATTACTTTATCAAAATGTCGAATTTGTGATCATATATTTCATCTCAGTTCATTCACCATTCAATCTGATAACTACTATGTACTGCATAGTGTATATTTTTGGCCACCGTTGATGTACAGTCATCCACATAAGTTCTGTAGCCTCTCCAGGTGAACCCACGAACCCAGAGATTCAGATTTGTGAACCCACATACACTCTACCTTCCTTCATCACTGCCGCCTCACCTCTGGGCACGTCAAGGGAATGGTAGTCATCGGTCTTCTTGATAATTAAACTCAGCTCAGGAAATATACTTCCTATAATTTGATATTCAATTTCCTGCCGTAAATCACTTGCTAAGAATGTCTTCTTGATCAACGGTTCAGTCCCAGGGTGAAGGTGAGGAAGCTGGAGGAAGAGGAAGAGGAGGAGGAGGAGGAGGAGGAGGAGGGGAGGAAGACAAGGAAGAGGAGGGGGAGGGAGAAGAAGATAAATAGGAGGGAGAAGAGAAGGAGGAGGAGGAAGATGATAATAAGAAGAAAAGGGGGGAGAAGACAACGACCCAGCCTGTGTATGGAAAGGGTATATGACGATGTTCCCTTTGCTACACACATCTCCCCCGCGGACCGCTTGTGTAATCGGGTGATCGTCGTGATGATCTTGGTATCCCGTAAATGAAGCCTGATGCTGATACTGGCCACGACCTGTGATAATATATTTCATCAGCGATAAGATCTAGATCCTGAGCTGTTATTGATGACCCGCCTTGCTTTCCATAACATGAGGAAGAAATCAGGTTGGTGTGATGATGTTTTTACTCTGGTATAAAAGTCTCAAGTCTTATAATGTCGCAAATAGCAAGATATAGTTAAGTTATTTCACCCAGGCGTCAAAGACATAATTTAGTTTCGATTATAATGTTATGGTTGAGACTAACCTGTGACTCAATGGATTTATTTTAGTGACTTAGGTAGTGCCACTGGTTTTAGTTATGACCTATGATGCTGTCATGTAGGTGTCGTCAGTATTTGGTGCCAGTTGCCTCTGCTAGGACCCTCTCGTCTGGTTTCCTGTAACAGTGTCATTAACATGTCATATTTTCCTACTGTCTTGTTTTAGTCTCATTAACCTAATTTAACTTTCTTGTTTCTATGTTTATTTATGGTAGTGGTCCATGATGGCATTACTCTGACCCTTGCTGTTGATATTGACCTCTCGTGACCGCTGTGTTGACAACCAGTGTAAGGGTTATAACCACAACCCTTGATAACACCCATAAATTATTATGTACAATTACAACCCACACACAACCCATGATAACAACCAAACAGAGGATAACATCGACAACCCATCAGACAATCCACAACCCACGAAAAGACCCCCAACTTGTGATAATATCCAGAACTTATGATAACATACAAAGGATAACACAGAACCCACGATAACAATCCATGATTCAAAAAATACAAGGCCCACGATAACACCCATGAATTATGAAAACACAAAACCCTATGAATTATAATAATATAGAACCCATAATAACACAGAACCCACTACCCCAACATGAATCATAACAACACAATACCCACGATAACCCTAATAACACAGAACCCACGATCACCCGGAACATCGGACATTTGGAGGGAGGGTGGATAACATGATCCGGAACTCCCCCAAGACAAGGGTCGGGTTGTTGGTCCTTACGATGTGTAATAGTACCCGCTGGAGGCGATGATGTCCACGCGCCAGTGAGTACTCGACCTGTCTACCTGCCCGCCCATCCACCCCCGCCCATTTCACGTCTATATAAGTGACTTCCGCCCGTTTTACATCTCTATAAGTGACTTCTACCAGTTTCACGTCTTTATAAGTGACTTCCGCCCGTTTCACATCTTGTACACCTGGGACACCTGATGCTGACACACACACACACACACACACACACACACACACACACACACATAAATATATAGCCTATACAAAGAGAGAGAGAGAGAGAGAGAGAGAGAGAGAGACTGATAGACATATGAAGAGAGAGAATAGAGAGAAAGGAGACAGATAAAATAGATAGATAGAGACATACATAGACAGATAGTTAGAGAGACAGAGATAGATAGTTAGAGAGACAGAGAGAGATAGTTAGAGAGACAGAGAGAGATAGTTAGAGAGACAGAGAGAGATTATTCCAACATACGTTATATTCATCAACATGTTATTCTTTGTCATCCATTACGGCTCCGTTTGTTAACTTCTCTCAATTATTTCATTCTCACACCTGTTATTTCTCTTCCTTCAATATTTTCTTTATTGATTTTCATTCGTCGTAACATTCATTATTATTCAAGTAAGCTAACTCTACTGTTATCTTGTATTGATTATTTTAAATCTTGTTTTTGTTTTCTTTATTTGATTATTCTGAGGTCATAGATTTCTTTCTTAAACAGTCATCAATGGCTGTTTTACATTAAGGTGAGTAATTTTTCTTATTTACAAGACCATGACAATGCCTTAAATTCCCCATGTTCCGTCTGAGGTTCCGATAAACGCCACACTAACTTTATCTAAGAGGACAGCGATCAAGTAAGAAGAGAAGCGAAGGGGAAAGAGAGATGGTAAAAGAAAGTCCACGATCGCCAGTCGGTTTTATGAACTTTGTAAGATGCCACCACACACTCCCTTGTTGTCCCAGTGCGAGCGCTCATTGGTCCAACTCATTGCGTCACGGCCCGGGCTGACCAATTAGGACTGGGGTATGGATCTCGGTGCGTGATTTTTTCCCGTTCTATGTTAAACGTGTTTTGCATTTGCTGTTTTTATTTATTAGTATTATATTGTTTTTTAACAGGATTATTCTAAGCAAATGTGTGAAGTTATACTCGTTATATTGTCCCATGTTGTGTATCGGTATTTACTGTTTATCAGAGGAACAGCACTTCACTATAGAGGTACCGGATTTCCCTTGGTATGTACCGAAGTTGCAATGTTGTTCAAAGACAGGAGCCTCCAGAACGCGTTTAATGTATTTAGAATATCGTTAACTAATACATTAATATTCAATAGACACGCTAGATGAACGAATAATTACGATACAGAACAGAAGTTAAAAATCATGAGTAGGTCACCTCCCCCCACCCCCCCGGCCGTCCACCCACCAACAAAGGTCGCGCTAACCGATGCTCAAAAGCCATGTGTTCTGATTTCTCATGCCCAGTGTAACACACACCTTCACGCGGGAAGGAGGAGGACCCTGGCTCCACCGGACAGTGCCAGTGTCACTTGCAACTCGGACGCGCATGGACGTCAAGTGCCGACCCTTATTCTGTCACACAGTTTACAAGTTTTAGAAAAAGTTTTTGGTGGAGATGAGAGTTTAGTGAGAGTGACCTGTATGATGGGGAATGAGAAAACCTTATTTAAAACATTGGAAAAACTTAACATTTTATAAAGTTGTGACAAACGTATATATACATATAAGTTGGACTTGTCAAGAACTTTGATGTATGTTAACAATATTACAGCAAGAGAGAAACTTTTAGTGAAAGAGAAAAAAGTTACTGAAGTACTTGGAGAAGTTCTTGGACAGGCACGCCCCCTCGCGGCCAGACGCGGGGAAGAAATTGATTCCAGGCGCAGGAGGCGTCATAGAACATTTGCCTAACATTGCCTCCTTCACCGTGCCCAAGACTCCATCAGTCTGTCCAAAGCTCCCCCAACGTGCCCAGGACACCCATCGTGGCAAGTACTCAACCAGCGTGTCCATAACTCCTTCAACGTGCCCAGGACTCTTTCAATATACCCAGGACTCCCTTCTCAACGTGTCCGGAACTCCATTACTGTCACGAGGACTACACCATCGTGCCCAAGAGTATCTCAGCAGCAGCAGGATGTTGCCCCAGGGGATGCAGGACGTGGCGGTGGAACATCCCCTCTCCGCGGGTGCCAGCTTCGGCTCCCTGGCAGTAGACGAGAGCTCTCCTACACCTTACTCAGACGCCACGCAGGTGAGAATTCTATCATCCCACCCGTCACTTACAGCTTGTTCACCTGCCCAACAGTCCTGGGATAACAGGTGTTGTGAAAGACACGTGTTAAGAGAAGATGTTATGAGGAAAACGACAGGTGTTACATTAAAGACGTGTAGTTGAAAATAACACAAGTTGGGGGAATACTTGTAGAGAGGGTCATAAGGGAAGTGTTATAGGGAGGAGGAGCAGCAGGTGTTGAGGGTTAATTATCAGGTGTGGTGAAGAACGGAAGCTGAGGGATATAACAGGTGTTACGGAAGAGGCATTTGTTGTAAAGAACAGTAGTATTGTGGGAAATAAAATGTCTCACCTCACAGGTGTAATGTGTCCCAAGTGTCACCTCACGGGCGTAATGTGTCCCAAGTGTCACCTCACAGGTGTAATGTGTCCCAAGTCTCACCTCACAGGTGTAATGTATCCCAAGTCTCACCTCACAGGTGTAATGTGTCCCAAGTCTCACCTCACAGGTGTAATGTGTCCCAAGTCTCACCTCACAGGTGTAATGTGTCTCAAGTCTCACCTCACAGGAGTAATGTGTCCCAAGTCTCACCTCACAGGTGTAATGTGTCCCAAGTCTCACCTCACAGATGTAATGTGTCCCAAGTCTCACCTCACAGGTGTAATGTATCCCAAGTCTCACCTCACAGGTGTAATGTGTCTCAAGTATCACCTCACGGGCGTAATGTGTCCCAAGTGTCACCTCACAGGTGTAATGTGTCCCAAGTCTCACCTCACAGGTGTAATGTGTCCCAAGTCTCACCTCACAGGTGTAATGTGTCCCAAGTCTCACCTCACAGGTGTAATGTGTCTCAAACCTCACCTCACAGGTGTTCTCTGGTAGGTCATGCAGGTGTTCTGGACGGCTGTTTGTGGTCTAATGTGGTACATCTAGTGTTGTATAAGTCCGCCACTTACAGAGATGATCATAAAGTTGTCAAGAGAGACAACTCGGATAAAGTGTTAATATTCTGTGCCTGTAAGTTCCTCCACACTAAATGATCGCAGCGAATTTTATATAAAGTGAATTGTGGCATGATACTGAAGGCTCACTGTGTGAACCGGACTACAGACCACGTGCTTTATCCAAAGTATATAGTTACTAATAGAAGCTGTGTATGTTGACTGAGGAATATATATAAACACCCACAAGTTCACACATACTGTATAATTTAGTATCTTAACCTTTAAGGGTACGAAAACATAATATATCTTACTCAAGGTAACAATAAACAGGAAAAAAAACAATATAAAAACAACAATCCAAACGACTTTTGGATTTGGCGCCGCGTATTTGAATCCTGGCAAACAAATCCCGAAGAGTTTAGTGGGTCTGTGTGATGACAGGTAGGCGAGCGAGGCCTTAGCTGTTACTACTGAGGCGGCCACTCGCTTCCCTCCTTCATATTTCTAAGTTATTCCTCTTCTTTGATATATGCGATATTTTATATATAGACGCAGAATCATATACAATATAAATTAATATCTAATAACCCACAATATATTACAACCTTACGGGTAGGTTACTCTCTCTTCATCTGCTACTTAACCCGTTTTTATAATCTACTGTATAAATGTGTTATTGACAGAACGTAACCAGCTTAATTTACATTAAAAAACTATCTCTCATCTTTTGCAATCGTAAAATATTCCACAGAGGTAATTAGACATTTTTTCCTTCTCAACGTGTAAATGTTTGGCAGCATCTCGTGTCGTGTGGGAGAGGTAACCAAGGAGTTCATCATGAGACATACGAGCAAGGTAAAGTCGTCTCCATTAGGTTTATGGAGGTCTCTACGACTACTCTTGGCACGTGGACGATGTGTTGATAAAGTGGACGTGACTCTCGTCTCTCTGTTGTGATTCACAGTATGACGATGTAGTTTGTGACGGACCTTGATCACAGTATCTTAGGACCGTACGTGTAAATGAAAGAGTTTACGAATGGACCGCTAATCCACGCGTTAAGAGCATCGTAGAAGTCTTCATGATATTAACAGATTAGATGTTACGTTCTTCATTAATTAACTCACACAGCACGGTACAGCCACAGTACATAACACTAAATAACTCCCATAGGTCTAAATAACTCCCATGAACCTAAATAATTCTCTCATAGGTCTAAATACATCTCATAGACCTAAATAATTTCCCCATAGGTCTAAATAACCCCCTAGGCCTATGGTGTATTTATCATAAAACCAACGATATATTTTCTTCGTGACTCAAGTTCAAGTACCAAGTGAAACTAATCTCTGACACGAGCAAGAGCCGAGAATGGTTCTTCTCAAGAGACGAAGATTAAGTTAACATGACATTCCTCGTCTACCACACAGTGAGGCGAGGCTAAACGATTACACGCTCAACAACGGAGTAAATAAAAAAAAATAACGTAAAACTTTAATATATCGTCCATAAATTAAAAGCTATCGTAGTGGTGAATGTAAAGTTAAGAAAGCAAAAAGTACGTTGCGGATGTAACAAGAGGCGCGAAAGGCAAAACGATCACACATTCAGCTAAACTGCAAACGATACGACACGACAAAACGACTTATGTACACCGCCGGAACTGAGTATAAGCAGTTCGACGGCACAAACGAACAGATACACAATAGTAATGGAACTTCCAAACTGATATACCGATAATTGGGTTACATCACGAAATCCCAGGCGAGAAAACTCACCAGTTCGGAAGTCGTGATGAGCGGTGTTGCTGGCGCGGGGATCTGCGAGATGTGTTGGGATTAGTGTCCAAGGATTTCTGGTGATCCTGGGGAATCACCTGGTCGCTATCCCACCTGTAGTCACTTTAAAGCCCCGAGGATTACAATATAATCCAGGAGAATGTTGGGTGTTTTTTTTCACAACTAAAAAGTTTAGTTTTTGTTACGTAGAGAAGACATGTTTTGTTCTTTATTATATTAGTTATCTTTAAATATTTGTTTTAAGAATGAAGAAAAATATGTTAGGTTCACTAATATAATGACAACAGAGTTCTACATGTGTGTATCAGCAACTATCAGAACACCCACATAACAGCTGTCAGAACACCCACACAAAATCTGTCAGAACACCCACAACAACTATCAGACCACCCACACAACACAGCGGTATATAATTGCCAGATCAACGATTTAACAGACGGGATTCAATGAGAGACTAAACTGTGAGTGTAGTGGAGAAGTGAGAGAGAATTGAGAGATACTGGTTAGAGAGGGAGGGGGAATGAGAGAGAGAGTTTAGAGACACTAATGAGAGTGACAGAGAGAGAGTTGAGAGAGGGAGGGAGAGTTGAAAGATACTAGTGAAAGAATGAGAGAGCTGGAGACACTTGTGAGACAGGGAGAGTGAGAGAGAATGAGAGATACTAGTGAGAGAGGGAGGGAGAGTAGGTGTGGGGGAGGAAGCTAGAGAGGGGCACCTGTTGAAACTACACGTGGGGGAGGAGGCTGCCGCTGACGCACGCTTCCGCTCTCTACCTGTCGCACCCCGTTCTTCTGTCACACCCTTATACTCGACCTGTCACACCCTTATACTCGACCTGTCACACCCTTCTACTCCACCTGTCGCACCCTGTCAGTCTACGTTTCGTACCCTGTAACTCAAACTGTTACTTTCCACCATCCTCACTTGCTACCATCCTTCCTGCCGCACCCTACACTCTGCCTGTCACACCCTACCTTTCTGCTTGTCACACCCTGTCACTCGAACCATTACCCTGTACTTATACGAGTCACGAAATAATAACAAAACCTTAATATTATGAAGACAGGAAATAAGATTCACAAGACAGAGAAAGAAAATAAGGAAGAGAAATAAGGAAGAAAATACAGTTGACAGAAAGAAGGTCAGACACCCCAACAACGTCACAAGAAACTCCATAACTCCGTACCCGAGCACACAAAGGTTCGCCTCCTGATTACACCTCGTAGTTGAAGGTAGACACTTACACCTAACTCATTAACTTGACACAGAGCACAAGAATACTGTTCAAATATTGCATTATATACTTTACTTACACTCTACCATAACTAGATAATATTGATACATTCATTAAACATCAATTAAGGAATAGAATTAATGTACTTGGGTTAATATTTTTTTGTGGGTTGGGGAAGGGGGGGTTAGGTCATGCGCCATAATTGAATCTAGTGTGATATGATAGTATCTAATCAAGGTAGAGCTGTGGAATAATTATTATAGTGTATTTAGGTATTTATTTTTGTTCCTTATGTCAACAAGTTAGGTTTTTTTTTATATAATGGTTTCAGATGTAAGGAAGTTTCACCGCAAGAAACTTTCTATATCCGGGTCCCGTAAGAGCTAGAAAAACTTAATTATCAAACACGAGAGAAAACTTGGCGTGACTTATCCAAATAATAAGTTGGCGTAATGTGTAGTTTTTTCTCGATTTATTGTGTTCACGGACGCAAGAGCGGACGAACACACGAACGACAAGAGGGAATAAAATGGAGAAATGAAAATGGATAAGTGAGGAAAGACGTAGAAGAAATGAGAAGAAGGAAGAAGAGATAAATAACGATTACTCCTATTTCTAAATTTTTTTAAAATTCATTCCTGATATTCATTTACATTCGAAGATCTCAATAATTGTTTATTATCTATTTACATTCACTTGATCCGTTTAGTACTGTTCCCTCTTCCTCTATCTACTTGTCATTCTCATCTGCATCATACAGCGAAACACCATACTTCTGGCTATCCCTTGTTCCACGGTGATTCATTTGTCACATAAGTCTTGTAATTTTTTTCCCACGTGGCGGAGGATAATGGGAGGCGTTCAAGAACAATAATAGTTACTCATCATCTGTTGTGTTCTTACTGTAATGTTCCTCGACCACAACAAAGTACTGAAAATCTCTTGTTTATCTCTGTTGGTTTGTACAGTTTAATATTAGTTATAAATAGTATGTTCATTCTTGATATTGAAACAGTTTATTTAGCCAGAAAAATACAGATACAGAGTCGATAATAATAACAGTATTGGCATGGATGAGCCAGTTGAGAGCCTGAGCTCTCTTGAAGGCACCTGTTATATAATGTACATTTATCTCAAGGAAGTATTATGTAACGTTATTATCAGCTGGAATAGTACACGTAACATGGTGGTAGTAAGAACATATCAGAATGTTACCACGGTTATCACTTTGTTATTTATTTAATTTAATTGTCTTACTTATTTTTTAAATTTATATTATAAGTATATACATAATTTACAGTGAAGTTGATATACATTAATAATTAATATAAGGGAGGGAAGCAATACAATCTGGGTTGTATTAAAGTGGAACAAGAGGACAGAAGCTGTCAGTTTCATGTCCTGTCGGCAACTATATTTATTGCAATTTGTAATTTCTATCTATCTTCATGACCATTTATGATATAATGGTTTTGGTGGTATAATAAAAGCAGGAATATAAAGCAAGTGTTACAAAAAAATTAATACTTAGACAATAGATATTTTTTTAGAGATGATTTAAAGGAAGGGAGCGTAGTCTTTGCTGGGATGGGTGGGGTTAAGTTGTTCCACACCTTCACACGGTGATATTTTATGGAGGTCTGGGACTGAGAGGAGCGTATGGGGGGTGGTCTTAGTAGCTCTGGGTGTCTTAAGTTGTGTAGCTCTGATTATTCCGGAACTGGAAATAATCACAGATTTGTAAACATATTGGGCACACATCAGTAGGTGTTAATATCCTCGAATTTTAATATTTTCAATTTAGTAAATTGTTCGTTAATTGTACAGCTCTCTTCTGTGCAATAATCAGGCTTCTTCTTCTCTTTTTTTTCTTCTTCTTCTTCTTATTATTATTATCAAGAAATCACTATAAGAACGCATGATTAAATTTCAGAACGAATAAATGCCTGAATCTTCGTGGTTATTTGCGGACAACGAACTGAACGAGTGTGTGTGTGTGTGTGTGTGTGTGTGTTAAGAGTGTGTAGTGATAGATTACATGCTAGAGTGTTTATCTAAGGAGCATGTACAGTATGTTTTAAGAGTGTGTAGTTAGAAATCATATATGTTAATGTGTGTGTATATCCTTTAAAGTAGGAAACTGAAGTGAATGTGAGTTAGGGTGTGTCGTAATTCTGGTCAATAATTCAATAATCACATATAATTCAGTAACATAAGAGGACAAGTTGGAAAAACGAAAAACAGTTTTGTTTAAGATTGTTGGAATAATTCTATCACTAACAAAGTAAAATATGTGTCAATAGTTTAAATTTTTTACCAACGAATTATTTTACACCATGACTCAACGAATGTAAGAATCCCACGAATTAGAATCAAGTAAATATTATCATTATCAACTTACTCGATTTTCATTGGTTAATAATCCAGAGAGAAACATCCATCACGGTATAACAATATCTTATCATTATTAGTAACGGAATGTTCATTGGTATTTAGAAACGAGTGTAAAGATTATAACACGGGGAAGGTGCCGGTTAGAAATAGCAAGCGTACCACACTCATAAGACGGTACCTGGCTGCCTACCCCCCGACACCCTCACGCCAAGAATGCCCCGCCGACCTCACCATTTGCTCCACCTTTGCTAATCCACCTTCGGGTTGTTTACTATATAAAAACAAAAACAAATGAAAAACGATAAAAAACGACATGACAATGAACATCTCGATGGTGTAGCGTGGGGGCTAGACGCTAGTTGGATCTACCATAATGCTAGTAGCGATAATAGTAATTTAATTTCAATAATTGAAAGACTTATTGATTTTGCCGATAATAATACTAGTAGCAACAGCAATGGTAACACACATACCATAAATATTATTATTATTATTATTATTACTAACACTATTGCAAGTACTACAACAACACCTACTACTACAACAACTACAACTGTTACTTCACTACTAACACAAACATATGATATTGTTACTGCAACACATCCCAGTGTTACATAAAGGCAACACAAACCAAAATAACCTAAGTAACCTTACTCCCATTCTAAATATTCCCCAAACACACCAGTTACATTATGGCAATGTTCTGATATTAAATAAACCCCAACAAACTAACACTACCATGACAACTACACCCAAACAAACACACGCCACTATTAAATGATGTCAAGTAAAAAAAAACAACAAAATAAAAACTGGATCAAATAAACGGTAGTTAGGCACAATCTGTGTTGGGCCGCGCCTGGGCATGTGTTAGGCCCGAGCTCGGTAGTGTTTTCATTCGGGTACTCGAGGTTAAGTCTGGTATCCGATGGGTATTAATTTTTTCCCAAGTGTGGCTGTAAATTTAGCATAATGTGTACCAGGTGGCGGCCAACCACGTCGCTCTCTGTTCACCGCGGGTTTTTTCGTTTATAATGTGCTTTTTGCAACCACTTCGAGAGTTCTGCCAGATTTTTGAGGTCAGAAATTCCATTTTTTTAGTGCTATGCTTACTTTTTTCAGCAGTGGCGGAAGTTCCACACTGTCGCACGTAAGAACTGAATCTCCGACGAAAAAATCTGTTATTTCTTCCTAGCGTTGACCACTCGGGTGAACACAAAGATAAACATTACAAAGACTCTTGAAAGAAGTAATTCTTAGTGACATATTTCCACGAGTCATTAAAAATTTGTGTTGGGAGATGTTACAGTACCTTGTGGTCAGCGCCACCTGGGGGAATTACTAAAGACTATTTCTACTTTTTTCTCAATCTATTGGTTCTCTCACTCGGCCCAACTAACACCTACGGCTTTATCTATTAATATTTTTGGTGGAGGGGAGGGTGACACATTATGGCAGTTTAAATGTATTGGTAAACATCGACGTCTTACTTTAATTTAAAATAAGTGAACGAATGGTGTCGTTAGTAAATGCATACGGAGGTTAGGTAGGTTAAATTTTCGATGGTCAGTGAACGGTAACGTTTTACATATGTTGAACGTCGTAAAAGTTTTTATTTTCATCAACACTTGGCAATAAATGTTCTTATACCAAGGTCTCTGAGACATGTTATCTACCCTAAGCTTTTGTTTCGCTTGATGGTCGGTGTTTCACAAACATTAATTGTCCATCATGTTAAAGTCAGAGAGATATATGTATTAATGAGTCAATTTTCCCACTGGTTGTTATAAATATTGTAAAATTAAATATACGTGTTTTTATAAGTGAAGAGAATACAGTTTGCGGATTTATTTTGTATCCATATTTAAGCGGATCTATTACTGTATGTAAACACAGTTGATAATGGAATGTTTTCTGTCTTCCTCAGACCAAGAAACATCCGCCCAACCACATCAAGCGGCCCATGAACGCCTTCATGGTGTGGTCCCAGATGGAGCGGCGGGAGATTGTCAAGTTTGCACCGGACACCCATAACGCCGAGATCTCCAAGCAGCTGGGTCGCCGCTGGAAGTTACTGACGGAGGAACAGCGACGACCTTACCGTGATGAAGCAGAACGACTGAAGCAACTGCATATGCGTGAATACCCTGATTATAAATACCGACCACGTAAGAAGTCAAAAGACCCACTCAAGGGCGTCTCGGAGCGCAGCGGCGGGAAGGTGTCGAAGGTTCATCAAATGAATAATATATGTAAGGAGTTCGCTAACAGTATCAAGCCCAAGGATGGTACCAACAACAAGCCTCAACTCGACCTTCACACTCTAGAGGACCACGTTAGCTGGTCGTTGCCGCTGACGCCCACTTCCCCGCCTCGGGTCCCCACCAGCCCCGCGACCTCCGATCTTCCAGACTCCCCAGAAAGCGCCTTCAATTTTGATGATCACGCGTTCATCAGAACATCTATGGTCAACTACACTCCCACACCCACACACAGTTACACTACACCCAACGAAGGTCATCCTCGCTCAACCACAATCACCAGCACGTCTTTCTCCTACCACAACTCTGTTCCTGTCTCCTCCTCACCCAACAACTCCCGGACAAGTAGCTGTGCCTATAGTGTTCCTCAAAGACAGCAACCGTACCAGCCTCATTTTTACCAGGAGCAAAAGCTGGCACACAGTTACCTGAAGCACGAGGCAATCAACAACATGAGTTACCTGAAACGGGAACAACACGAATATGCGGAACAGTTACGTTTACAGCACCATCAGCAGCATCAACATCAACAGAAGCCAAATTATCAACAACATTCATGTCTCTACTCGCCAGTCAGTACGCATTCTTCCTTCTTCGCCTCTGCTGTTATGGCACAGCAACAACAGCAACAGCACCAGCACCACCAGCACCACCACCAGCAGCCCCCACAGCCTGCTGTTAAAGTTGAAGCCCAAGAGACCCACCCAGCGACCCTGGATGACCTGGATAACATCGGGGTTACCGAACTGATCCCAATGACCTCTGATCTGAAGGTGGAGTTGGAGTCGTTAGCTGACTTGGGCTACGAGTCAGGAGGGTCAGCGGCCAGCAACTGGGCGAATGTTGGGATCACCACCAACACTCCCAATGTTCTCGCTGACTTTGAGATAATGAACGCATGGATCAACTCCTGAACCATCCATGTATGAAGCCAAAAGTTAATGTCTTTCAAAACTTGTGCATTCAATGGCTACAGAACATTCTTGCCCTGTTGTACATTAGTGAAGTGCACAAAGACTCTTATTATGGTATTACAAATAAACAAAACCTTGTGTACATTTTCTCTTCTTGTAAGTCATTGACGCACATCTTTACATCTTGTACATAGAAGAAGAATCAACTGTCATCGCCGGGTATTCCTAGAAATAGTTACCAGTTCAGCTGATGAACTTCGTGCTTGCCCAGTATTTAAAAAAACAAAACAATAAAAATAAACGTCTCACCTGGACAAATGAAAATCTAGTCAGTCACAATCGCTGATACAATCACAATAAAAACATTCAACTCAGAAATTGTGACACCGGATTCTGAGACAGTACTTAACGTCACGGAAAAACATAAACGTAAATTATTCTCAACAATGTCACAGTCTCAGCTCTCGCTATGGTAAGTTAACTAGAACACAGGCCTAAAATAATGCGAGTCTACCAGGTTAAATCTAAACCACTAGGAACAATTTATAGGCAAAAATAACATACTTTCTTTAGGTTTCAATGTCCTATATCAACAACACCGAATGTAAACAAACCCATCATATGCCTTGTCAAAATCCTGTGTTGTGGTTAGATTAGCGGAGTTTAAGGTTGAGTGAATGTTGACCAATACTTGTACTCAGGCTGGTATTGAGTGAATGGTGACACTTGTACTCTGGTAATAGGAAGGTATGGACTCAAGTCTTAATTCGTATCTAGAGTACATATCTGTCATCATCACTAATCAATACTACTAGCCTGAAATGTAATATAATTATTCTTTCAGTGGAGGCTTGATGACGACTTGCCAGCATACGTTAGCGTAAACCTTACCAACCTTCTGCTATCAATTTATCTTCCAAATACAAATAAAACAATTAATGACACTCAGCTAACTTCATATGACACAAATTAACTTCACGACACGTAATTAATCCCATATGACACTCAAATTGACTACATATGGCACTTAACTTACTTACTAGTGTAATAATAATAAAAATATTACGACACCTATATATGACAGAGATGTTGGTCAAGGTTACAACAACAGTATGACTGGTTGGGTTGTCGTCAGCTCACAGCACTGGGAGAGAACGTTAACATTGCCGTTCTGGTGCATATTGGTACTTGTTCCTGACTCTAATATGTTGAGGGCACTGTGAGCTAAGACATAATTGTACTGCATCATTATAGAATCTTCACCCTATTATAAAGAATAATAGTTTAAATAGTCAAATATGATGGACATATTATATATAAATCATAATATAATCTTCATCATATTTACAGTTATAATAATATAAGCAAAGTAAATATTGAGAAATTATTTTACTAATGATAATAACCCAACTCACAGATGCCCCAATATGTCTAGAGATTTTCCAGATGAAATTTATTAGTCTCCTGAAGTAAACGACAAATATTGTATTGTAAAAAATTATTGTCCGAATTTTTTGTTGTGTGTTTTTTTACGAATGTGTATCGCAGAATTTTGTGGTAGGAGAGTAGAAAGTTTTAATTAGATAATATATAGTTAATATATATAAATATATATTATGAAATATATATTAGAATGACAGAAAGAATGTGTGGCGGTTCAGCTCAACGAAAACAACGAACAAGAAAGCTGGATTTTTCTTGGTTTCTGCTGTACTGTACTTACACCCACGGACACACACACAAACTCTAAGCGCCCTCCTACACTTCCTGCACTTACACCCACGGACACACACACTAGGCCATCTCCTGTACTTAAACCCACGGACACACACACTAGGCCATCTCCTGTACTTACACCCACGGACACACACACACACACACTCTAAGCGCCCTCCTACACCTCCTGTAAACCCACGTTAAACCTCCTGGACACACACACACACTAGACCATCTCCTGTACTTACACCCACGTACACACACACTAGGCCACCTCCTGTACTTACACCCACGGACACACTCTAGGCCACCTCCTGTACTACACACACTACGTACTTACACCCACGGACACACACACACTACGCCTCCTACACCTCCTGTACCCACACACACACACTCTAAGCGACCACCTCCTCCATGTACTTACACCCACGGGCCACCTCCTGTACTTACACCCACGGACACACACACTAGGCCACCTCCTGTACTTACACCCACGTACACACACACTAGGCCATCTCCTGTACTTACACCCACGGACACACACACACACTCTAAGCGCCCTCCTACACCTCCTGTACTTATACACGGGCCACCTCCTGTACTTACACCCACGGACACACACACTAGGCCACCTCCTGTACTTACACCCACGTACACACACACTAGGCCATCTCCTGTACTTACACCCACGGACACACACACACACACTCTAAGCGCCCTCCTACACCTCCTGTACTTATACCCACGGACACACACACACTCTAAGCGCCCTCCTACACCTCCTGTACTTACACCCACGGACACACACACTCTATAGCTCCCTCCTACACCACCTGTACTTACACCCACGGACACATACTCTAGGCTCCCCACCCACACCTTCTGGTTCCTGCTGTACTGTGCTTACATCACGGACACTCTAGGCTCACTCCTACACCCACTGGACATCCACGGACACTCTCCCTCCACACAGAAGACTCTATCCAAGAACCTCACTCCACACCCAAGTAAACTGGGTGTAGAGGTGTACGGAACCCTACACCAGCGTCTATGGGAAACCTGTAAAGTATTCTACCTTGAACATTTCAGCTAAATAATCACATTGTTTTGCCTGGCAGTTTGTTTATGTTTTTTCCTATCGACCTTTTCTCTATCTCTCCCTTTTTTACTTTTTTTCTTTATTTGTTCAATTTTTTTTTTTTTAGTACCACCGACGAGTCACTCAGTACCCGTCTGTGAGCAACTGTGTGTCCGCCGGTGTGTCTTGTTGTGGCTCAAAATATTTATGCAAACCTTATGTAAATAAGATATTTATTATTAGGATTTCCTATGCATTTATGTAGCTGCAATTGAAAACATTTTATACGTTTGCACCACCGAAATAAAACATAGACTACAACATATAATTTATTTTCTTTAAACATTTACCCTATTGATGAAAACAAACTCAAATTGGACTTATTGATAAAATTATGGAAATACAAGAACCGTATATATTTCTTACGTATTTTTAATATACTATATCCATTAAAAAATGTTATGATTACACTATATCAGAAAAACGTACATATAATTAGAAATGTACTCCTGGTATATACGGTATATCAAAGAAACTTGGTATATCTACAGCCAGTATACTGAGAGAATGATATACAAGAGAAGGATACCATTACCTATGATCATTATACCACAAACATAATATAGAACGGCTCTTGAGTGTACTGTAAGAAACGGGTTATGGTGATTTGTAACAGAACTTGTGTTGGAGACGGAGATAATATTAGTGTTGGAGACAGATAATATTAGTGTTGGAGACAGATAATATTAGTGTTGGAGACAGATAATATTAGTGTTGGAGACAGATAATATTAGTGTTGGAGACAGATAATATTAGTGATGGCGATGGAGATAATATTAGTGTTGGAGACAGAGATAATATTAGTGTTGGAGACAGAAAATATTAGTGTTGGAGACAGAAAATATTAGTGTTGGAGACAGATAATATTAGTGTTGGAGACAGATAATATTAGTGTTGGAGACAGATAATATTAGTGTTGGAGACAGATAATATTAGTGTTGGCGATGGAGATAATATTAGTGTTGGAGAGAGATAATATTAGTGTTGGAGACAGAAAATATTAGTGTTGGAGATGGAGATAATATTAGTGTTGGAGACAGAGATAATATTAGTGTTGGAGACAGATAATATTAGTGTTGGAGATGGAGATAATATTAGTGTTGGAGACAGAGATAATATTAGTGTTGGAGATGGAGATAATATTAGTGTTGGAGATGGAGATAATATTAGTGTTGGAGATGGAGATAATATTAGTGTTGGAGACAGAGATAATATTAGTGTTGGAGACAGAGATAATATTAGTGTTGGAGATGGAGATAATATTAGTGTTGGAGACAGAGATAATATTAGTGTTGGAGATGGAGATAATATTAGTGTTGGAGACAGATAACATTAGTGTTGAAGACGGAGATAATATTAGTGTTGGAGATGGAGATAATATTAGTGTTGGAGACAGAGATAATATTAGTGTTGGAGACAGATAATTTTAGTGTTGGAGACAGATAATTTTAGTGTTGGAGACAGATAATTTTAGTGTTGGAGGACAGGTGGTAACAGCGTCAAGAACAATTTAGAACGTGGCAGTACAGGTAAGAATCAAGACGGATCAATAGAGTACTGTTTTTAACCCCGTGAGTACGATAGTTTAACCCCTTGAGTTCCTTGAATTAAACACTAGAGCAGTGTCTGAACCCATTGAGTGCGATGAGTTTAACCCTTTGAGTACAATAAATTAAACAATCGAATAAGATGACTTAACCCCTTTAATTAAAAGTTATGTACTACTCAGGAGGTTAAGTCAAAGTACTCAAAGGGTTGAATTCACCGTGCGTTGTATCTTTAATTGTACTCGGTTGATTATCATAGTACTCAAAGTGTTTATCAGTTCTGAGTCAAAGTGTTACTCAGACTGGCTCATTAATCTCCTCCTACTCGTAGTAAACAAACACACTATCAATTTCACTTCTCATTTCAAGGCTCCTGAGTGGTTTTCAATTCTTGTCGAGATAAGAAGGTAGTAAAGGCGTGTCAGCTGATAAGATAAAGAGATAGATTCAGAGTAAAAATAATACTAACTGTTCTATTCGGTAGATTAAATAATATACTGTTATTGGTGAACACTTGAGAAACACACGTGATTGTATATGAGATTGAAAGTTGCAGTTTAATGATGATGGTGACAATACCACTATTTATGTTTTACTGCGTCCGATAGATTTATGAATGCTAAACCTGACCGACTTGCTGACTGAGAACTTTTTGTTAGGTCAAAACTGAATGTTTTTTATGAAAAAAGTCCCCGTAACCTTTTTATCTACTTATTATGATTACTATAATTATAACACAAACTTACACACACATTTATATACAGTCCCATGTGGTCTAGTGGCTAGGATACCTGGCTTTCACCCAGGAGGCCCGGGTTCGATTCCCGGCATGGGAAGGATATTTTTTCTTTGTAAATAACAATCATAATTAACAGTGAAAACATTACAAGAATAAAACAACAACCAAATATAACACGCGGCTTCTGCACATAAAGGGTGTTAGAGGTGCTTAGCTCTCAGGTAAATGTTAACAGGAGTCAAATAGCGAACCCAGGACGAGAAGATGCCAGCTTGGTAAAGACATAACAAAAGGGTACCAGCTAGGTGAAGACTAAAGAGAGTGCTAGCATGTTAAATACAGTACCAATTGAAGCCAGTTTGTTAAGAATAATGCCAGTGAGAATAAACATCGTAAGAACTATGCCAGATAGAGCCAAGCTTATTAAGGACAGTGCCAATGTAGACCAGGCTGACGTAGACGATGCCAGAAGCTACCGGGAGGAGGTGGTGGGACATGAGGCTGTGTTATCAGGTAGAGGTTATCGCCAACACCGCCCACTGGGGTACTTAAGTGATCCACCTCCAGTGACCTCCTCGTGGACTACTACCCCCGGGGCTGCCACCACCACCACCTACCCTGGGGCTATCAACACGTGCCTAACACCACCTACCTCGGCTCTACCACCACCTACTCCAGGGCTACCATCACTTACCCTGGGGTTACTACCACCACCTACCAGAGGGATACCACCACCTATACCCCAGTTACCACCACGTGCCACGGGCCTATTTTTACCTACCCCGGGGTTAGCACCACCACCTACTCCGGGGTTACCATCGCCTATCACTCACTCACTCACTCGTGTTATCAGCTGTGGCATTGTCCGAGTCACCATTAGCGCCTGAGTTGGTGATTAATGTGGTTTGTGGTTACCAGGTTAGCAGGTATGCGGTCACCAGGCTATTACGGTCGCCAGATTGAAGTGTGGTTATCGAGTGTGTGGTCACTACTTTGGTGTGGTTATCAAATGTGGTCACGATGAGGTTATGGATACCAAATGCGATCACTGTTTTAGTTTGGTTATCAAATGCGGTCACTTGGTTGTTATGTTTATCATGCGCTCACCAGGTTGTAATATTGATCAAATACGGCCACCAAATTGTTATAATTATGTCCGTTCGTGTCCGTGGTTTGTACTTGGCGTTGACTTAAATACACTTATACAGCTTTAAAGATTTCATTTTTAAACTTAACCAAGGCAATATCCTCCCGCCAGGAATTCAGACGAGTTAATGATAGTGATAATATTATAACGATTATTAGTATGGCGATTTTTTTTTACGTACAGTATTATAAAGATATTCACGTTAAGAGCACAAACGTATCGGGCTTATGAATTAATTATAAAGATACAGTAACTTTTTTCCCTCTCGTAGTATAAATTAACTTTGGAGTACGATTTGTAACTAGATCTCTTGAGTACTTGTGTGTATATATGTGTCTGGTGATTCTGTCTGTCTCTAAGTCTTACAGTTTATCATACTTGGATTTCACTCTGGAGTACTGGCACACTGAACCTCTCTTGATGGTGTGTACTTGAGATATGTAGATTGTTAACATTATGATGGCTATTGAGAGAGAGAGAGATACATTAAACGTACCATCAAGTCTTCATTTCTCATTGTTATGTTATTCAATGTTGACCAACAATGTAAGTGTTTGATGACGACAAACAATTTACACACAGACACACTACTAACACACACACACACACACA